CCCCATCTTCCAAAAAATATCATGTGTGTACATCGCGCATCGCTACAAAACATATGTACATTTTTCTGTCTATTATAACCAATGTCTGTATTTTTGTATACGAGAAATTATTTATGTCTGACCCCATTAAGAGTGTGAAAGTCGATGTAATTAGGGAAATACGACTGTTAAATATGTACGTCATCGTAAACACACTTTATGAGATATGTAATATCTTATCGTAATATTAAAATAAAATATGAAACTTACATAAAATCTTTTTAAGTGACTTTAATTCAACATTTTTATACGATAAATAATGAAAAAAATCTGTTTTTGTCAAAAAATCATATACGGTTCTGTTTAAAAATTAAAAAAAATAAATATAATTGCACTTTACAAACGTATCTGCGGAAAAAGTAACATCATAAAAAATCAAACACCATTAAATTCTCATATGTTTTTTTTTCTGTTATATTGTTTTATAGGAAAATGAAAAACCCAAGTCCACTAGCTCCATAGAGATATAAGACTAGAGTGCGTGAGTCATATGCTAGTACGTAAGGGTGGGTACTCACTAGCGAAAACGAACTCCGAACGAACAGCGAATCGTGTATTTGTATCTCATTCGTGCTAAGCACACATGGTATACAAGTGCACGATTCGCTGTTCGTTCGGCGTTCGTTTTCGCTAGTGAGTACCTACAGTAAGAGGCTGCGATATAGGAATAAAAAAAGAACGCTGCAGTTGAACAAAGACAGAAGAGGCCCATACTGCAGCTTTTTCTTTCTATTCCTATCGCGACAAGACAGCTTTCTCTTTCTATTCCTATATCGCTTTTTCAGCTCGCTTGCGCACTCTATTCTTATATCTCTTTGACTAGCTCAGTCACGTTCTTTACCTGATGACAATTTATGTTTGTTTTAATTTATTAGTGGGACTACTCACGGACCCCACTTTCCAAAAAATATAGAAACCGGAGTAAATGTATGTAAATACACATACATTTCATTTATCTTTTATCTATTATAACCAATTGTGTGTATTTTTGTATACGAGAAATTATTTATGTCTAACTCCATCTAGAGTGTAAAAGTTGATGTAATTAGAGAAATACGACTGTTGAATATGTACGCCATCACGTAAACACACTACGGGATGTGTAATATATCTTATCGTAATATTAAAATGAAATATGAAAAAAAATATGAAACTTAAAGAAAACCCTTTTAAGTGACTTTAATTCAATATTGTTATTTGACAAATGATGAGAAAATCTGTTTTCCTCAAAAAATCATAAAAAGACGAGCGATGTTGCGGAACATGCAGATCGTTTCCTTTGTTGACGTATGTACAAAACGACGATATTAACCCACGCACGGCGCATTTACGCACACGCGTATGCATAATAATCATACGTATAAGTAATCAAACTAACTTTACTCGACGCTTCGAAGATCCGTCGCGTCGAGCGAGTTAACGCTCAAGAAGTTGCGTAGGGATCAAACTAAACTCCACTATAAATTAACGTGTGTACTTTAACACGTTTGCCTATTTACGGGATCGTAAAAAGAACTTGCGAGCCATGAGTTTACATTTTTATCATACGGATAAACACGTTTTATTCGCAGTTGCAATTAATTATGATTGACTCAGTTATCGACATCTCGCGCAAGATCTCATACAAAATTGGAGACCAAAATTAGAAAACTGAATAATATTTAAATTTGATCACACAGACTTTTAGACTTTTTCTCTTAAAAAGAGTTAAGAAGCTATTGCAATCAGATAAACATATAGACGTAACGCCACCAAGCTATCATCAAACTATCATTAAGACCCATCATTAATTCTATTAATTATCTTGCGATGCACTTAACACCTTTTGATCGAGGAGGAATTAGATTAGGGCCTGGCTGTGTGCGCTAGCGATTGCTTAAAGGCGCACCGATAAAAGCACCCTGAAAGCACGTTACTGTGCATGCTGCTCGACACATTAATTTCTGTCGATTAGCTTTTGAGTGGCACGACACGGGAACGCCGTGATGTACGAGCGCGCAGAATGAAAACCTCGCTATTAAAACGCCGGCTGACATTCTGCGACCACCCCGTAAATGGCCGTGATATCGCGCCGTAATTAAATATAATCTGCAATATCGAGGTGCGTTAAGCGATTTCGCGAAAGCACGTGCGACGATGTTTCCGCAAGTACTCTTTCGTTGGTATTTTTCACCGTGGATTCAATGCTGCGTGTTTAATGTCAAATACGACTTCACGTCTCGAACGACGAATTTTCTGTCGGACAAATAAACCCTAAATTTCCACCGGTAGTTTCCAGTATTACGAGTCACTTTCGAAAAATATAATTTTCGGAATGACACTTGTCGAACAATCGCTCCTAATCCCGCCGGAAATTTTCACAATTGAGTCGGGGCCAGACAATGAAGTTATACAAACACATGTTGTAGGCTTGCAAGGGAAAACATATCGAACTCGGAAATGTAACGTTCTGGGACAAAAAGAATCTTAAGATCTAAACTTTTCTCGAATATTATATTATTGAGTCCGCAGTTTTCAATATTCACGATTACTGAATCGGAAGTACACAAATCAGAAGTTTAACTTTTTACATCGTAATTTTCGCTGTAATAATATGAATAATTTTCTGAGTATCTTTGGATCGAAAAGCCTCTTGTGCTCATATTCTACAGAAATAATTAACGTTCTCGAGATTAACTAGAGATTAACGAATTGTTAAACAAACTTCTCGCGTTCTTCTCCGTGTCTTCGCAATGTCGAGCGACAAAGCACTAAGCGCGCTAAACCATAAATCATCACTAAAGCGAAGCTTTGTCCCTTTTATCGCAAAAGGTGAAATTTCAACGAGTTTTTCTTCTGTCCTCGTGTCTTGGAAATCCAGTAATGAATCGCATGCCGTCACCAGACGTGCACGCGGCCCAAGAGCTCCTTTTACTCATCCTGGCAGAAGACAAACGCGTTTGCAACGTCGCTATTATCTCGACGTCCGTGCCACGCGAAACCCGGTACTGAAAACTCGCGCACAGCAGCGGCACGCGAAAGCATGCAATGAAAATCAGTTTATACACACGCTAATAAATTAATCAATCAAGATTGCTCGCCACAAACGCATGTTTCTCTCTCCCTCTCGTTCGGACGCTAATTCTAACCATGCAGATTACGAAAAAAATCGAGAGATACCGCTTTAAACGTCTTATAACATTTTGCGGATTATTTAGAATCACGGCTAGAATTTGAATTATTTTCAAGTGTCATTTTTCGATGCATTAATCTATTTTTATTGCGTGATCAATGCTTCGTCGTCTAGACGACGACAAATAAAGCTTCATCGAGGGATAGCGCGTCCGCTATCGTCCCACTTCTGTTCCGAGCGACATGCTGTGTGTCGCTTTTTTTCTCTACCCTAATACCTGTCTCGTGCGACGGGTTCGTAAGAGCGCGCTCATGGTGGTCTAGGGTACTCCATCATTCGACGCGATGTCTATCCCGTCTAGGAGGACCGCGTATACGCGCGCTGACGCTCGATATCGCCTCGCGTCTTCCGTCCCTGTTCCCTCTCGTGTCCCGGACGTGGATTTTCGCGCGGGCGGAGATAAACCGCGCGAATTTACCGGCCTCCGACGCGGATGGAACACGCGCCGCATTGTTCGGAAGGAGTGAAAAGCGCGATGGGGTCCGACTCGTCGATGTCGAGCCGGGAGGGAGGTCGCCCCGGCGTTCTCGTTTTTTTTCCCCCGCGCGGCGACAATCCTTATTGTCGGATCGCGCGGTTCCCCGTCGTACGTTATCGGACGAGTGGAAGAGCGGTTTGCAACAGAAAAATAATAGGCGCGCACGACTGGGTTCGATGAAGTTGCGGTCGTCATGACAGCGTCGGCTCGAACGTGAGCCAGACTCGCGATATCGACGACGAGCGATCCGGAATAACGTCGAGGATACAGAAACCTCATATACAGAACTGCCCTCTGACTTGCTCTCGAATTGACTCGCGTTTTTTTTGCTAGGATCACCGAGTCCCCAAAGATCCTACCTATCCAGTCACACCAGTCGCACGAATAGCCTATAGCATAAAGACATGCTTGACTTCGCCGTCGTAGTTTAGTTGCTGAATCCTATTTCAATGATGGGACGATGAAGTCATCGCGAAGTGTAATCGGAGAAAGAGAAATGTAAACCTCCTTGGGATGGGCGGTTCTCAACGAGAAAGAGATCGCACAAACGGGATAATAGACAAAAGAGCGAAGCAGAAGGGATCACGTAGTGCATTTCTCGCGAAGAGATTATGTAAAATGGTCGGAACACGCACACAATACATAATTAATATTGCGTGGCACGATTTGCAAAGCTTATTCTTACTCCCAAAGCTTAATCTTTTAAATTTTGCTCTGATATCAAACTGGATTGTGTCATAAATTACAACTTGCACTTTTAAAATAAATGTGTATTTCATTTACTTCTTTTCTGAGATTCGATCGATCACGCACGAACATTCAAGATTAGAAATCAAGAAACTAATTAATGTTTTACGAAACGTTTTATTAATTTTTATTTTATGCAATAATGTGAAACGATGTATTTTATTTCTACAGTATATTTATACGTGTAAATTGCAAATATTATCGAACCCAATCAAATGGCGAAACTTCGCTCCAATTAAACTTCATATCAAACGGGAAGCAATAGGATAACGAAACCGAATAAAAGTACGTTTATTACTTTCGTGAAGCAGATGCCACGACGTGTAATTCACTTATTTACAATTCTCTCGATCGGAAAACGACATTCCGTTCACGGACATGTGTACACATGTGCCGTCCCTGCGAATTTATCGCTGATCAGCGAGCGAATGGCATCAAGAAGCGGAACCGGTTTGCAAAATAAGTCCCGGGTACGAATCGGACCGCGTGCGCTCCGCTGCCAGGGATAACGTCGCGCTCGCAAAAAAAATCGGAATAGACAGTCAGAAAGTCCGTTGTACTCACTGATGAGTGGTGACGTTGAAGAAGAGATGCGAGAACTGCGGCGCCGAGTCCTCCGGGCCGTGCGGCGCCGGGAAGCTCGCGACTAACATTACCGGCTTCCGGGCGAAATTGTGTTTGCTCTGCCTGAGGAAAGCCACGCTGTCGTTGGCTATCAGATCCGGATAATAGTCCCGGTTGTAGTCAAAGCCGTGCTTTATCTTCTTGCCGTTCATGTTGACGCTGTAGTTGTAGTAGCGGGAGTTCATTATAAGGCCGCCCCATTCCCGCCATCCCGGCGGTATGTACGAGCCGTTGTATTTGTTCAAATACTTGCCGAAGTATCCTGAAACAAAAACAAAATCGCGGAACGTAAGTTGCAGCTTTGGTGGACGATTAAATCTTTAATTTCTCGTAACTTTCTTGACACCTCTATCTCTTATGTAAATGACTGTAATTTTAGATATAATATAGCATATTATGTTTTTTTAATTATGCAATTTACAATTTGTATTATCGATGCACGCGCTTGCAAAATATTATTTGCCGTTCATTATGTTCCAAACTTGTAATTCATAATTGAAATGCAATGTGTAAATTACTGTCCCTCATCTGTCAAGTTAAATTGCTGCATGTAAACTTTTTTAATGGCCAGAGAATACAGGAAAAAGTGATATATATTGATATTTCCTCCAATCATTCCATGATTTGTAATTTAACGCATAAAACATCAGAATTCAATACGAAGCACGACACATTCGATAAATACTAGATTAATAAAGAAAGCAAACACATTATATCTGCGTTCTAAGCTATGGAAATAAGAATTAATGCCATACGTGTTTCGCCCTACTTTTAAAAATTTGTTTTTTTTTACACATATATAAATATTTATGTTTCCATTCCTGTTTTCTATTTCTGTTTCAATTATATAAGTAATTGTTCTTGTTTTTGAATACGAGAAACTATTTGTCTAACTCCAGAGTATATGAGTTAAAAAAATTAGGGAAACACGACTGTTGAATACGTGTCATGAAAATATAAACTTTGCGAAATATGAAATATATCTTATGCCATAATATATGAGAAGAAAATAACTCAAAATATTTTATTTTTGATAAGTTAATCTCAATACTTTTTTTTACATGTAAAAGAATATTTTTTATTGAAAAAAAATGTGTGGAAAATACACGGAAAAAAATATCAGAGAATCCGAGACTGTATAAATTTCTTGCAGAAAAATTGAAAAAGTATACATTTCTCCCGGTTATACTGGTGATAAATCAAAAGGCAATTCCATTTTCTGGTTTCTACTTCTCGTAAAGGTACCTCCCGTCAAGACTCATCCCGTCTGCCGAAGCCTGAATTATTCATACGGGGCGGCATCAAATAATTAATTCAAAGGCACCACGGTGAAGTCCTTCTTTTCGGTTTCTCTCTTTACTTCCAATTTCGCGTATCCTCCTTCTATCCTTGTGCACCATCGTATACACGGTACGTATATATCGATGCTTATTTATATCAGTTATATGATGGCGAAATCAGACGCGCGCGTGCAAGATGATTTTTTGCTAGGATGAGACCATCATGCGCGATCAATCACGTTTACTTTCGTTTAGCACTAATCGGTGACATCTCAATAAAAACTGCGAGCGTCATTCCTATCCGCTAAACAATAAGCGTAACGATCGATAAATCTGTGGAATAGATCATGGCTGCAAATAATCACTTGACATAAATCATCAATTCGGCTTTCTTGCATGAGGATTTATAACCAATAAATTCGCGATTTTAATTAAATATATTAAAAGTTGGAGATGATCTTTTCATCAATAACGTTGGATGATCTTTTTTACTTCTCAATATTTGTAGTCGTCGAGAGAGAACAATCGTATAATTCTTTTATACCTATAAATTTCTATATTTCTTCAAGACATTCATTTTCGGTGCGACTTCATGTGCAGACAACGAGTTCAGAAACATTGGTTTCCGAATACATTGTTCGAATTGTTTCTAAATGACTCACGCACTTCGAAAATATCCGGGTAATAGTCTCTCTCAGCTTACATCGTGTTTTCTTCGCGTAATCACAGCGATCCCTTTTCTATTTCTACTCACATGAGCAGCATTTCGAAATAAAACAAGTCACCGCGAAAATTAATCATATGATGATGTTACTCGATTTTTTCCCGATAGTCGCAATAGACAGCGAATGATTGCTCGACAAGCAAAGCGCGTTTCTCATCATTTAAAATTTAAAGAATCATGTGCGATTTGTATGATTTTAACTATTTCGATCACCTGCGTTTATTTCGTGATTTCTCTTTAATTACCGGTAATTCGCATTTGTAGATACGCAGCTATCACACCGCGAATTCGTCGAAACGATAACGCTATGTGACATTATTGTTGCGATAGGCGAGTGATGGCGTCATTTGGCCACTTCATTTGGCTGTATTTACATGCTAGTTCTGTCAGTCAGACAACACATTCGTTGTATTCAATAATCGTGTTTTCCTGTGTATATGTGATTGTGTTACTTTCACACTCCAGATGGAGTTAGACATAAATAATTTCTCGTATACAAAAATACACACGACTGGTTATAATAGATAGATAGAAGATATATGAAATGTATATATATCGTCATACAAATATTTTTTGGAAGTGTGGGGCTTTACAAGCTTTGCTTTTACCCCACCAATAAATTGAAACAAACATAAATTGTCATCAGCACGGGGATTTTCTAACTCCTTAACGACAGTTTCTGTATCGTTACGCAGGTATTATATATGGTAAAAGAGCTGCGCAATGATACCGAAACTGTCGTTAAGGAGTTAGAAAATCCCCGTGCAGGTAAAGAACGTGACTAAGCTAGTGAACACTTGGGTTTTTTATTTTACGATAAAACAGTATAACGCAAAAAGAAATACGAGAATTTAATGATGTGATATATATATATATATATATATATATATATATATATATATATATATATATATATTATACATCTATCATATTAATCTTCTCAGCAAATTATTTTTTGGAAGGTGAGGTTTTGCAAGCTTTGCTTTTACTCGCCCCACCAACAAATTGAAACAAACATAAATTATCATCAGGTGAAAGTGACTGGGGCGGTAAACTCGAATTCCCCGTTTTTCAAGTTTTTCTCTTAATTATGCAATTCACGCAGTTTTATGATGCCTACATGAATCGATACTTTGTTCGGCTTGCATACTAGTTTTTTCAGCCAGACAACATATTTATCGCATTCAACAGTTGCTTAATTATATTAATTGTCTAAATTAAATGTAATTAGGCATAAATAATTTTACTTATACAAAAATTAGTTATAATGAAAAGAAATAAAAATGTGAGGCTTTGCAGCCCTCTTTCCCACAAATAAACTAAAATAAATATAAATTGTAATAACTGTTGACATCAAACAGAAGCAACCAGATTGATAATGATAATAAAATTCGGGTTTTCCATTTTTCAAATTTTTACTTATTGCCAAATATATGGGATCTATATTTTTGCTCATCTACCTATGCGTTTACAGTTTGATCAAATAATATTCATTTCTGAACTATGATTCGAGTATACTTTTTATAAAATCAAAAACATCTTGTCATGCACTTTCTTATTATATTTTGATTTGTCTTATATAATTTAATTTTAGATAATTTATTATTACTCTGCATGTTCATGAATTTCACATAGTATGATCAAGTTTGTGTTACTTATCATGATGTTATCGATATAAAAATTTAAAAACAATTTTATAAAAGAAGTTATGTACCTGAAATATAGGGTGATTATATTATCAGAATTGTGACTACGCATCACACCTGTTGCTTCGAAGAAGATAGAAGCGCAACGCGAGATAGCTCCACAGTAAAAAAAAATCGCGACTTGAAGAGCAAATTAAAATTCAGAAACGGCGATACATCTCGGAGACGTTTGATTGTAAAAAAATGTACTCTCTATTAGCTAAGTGGATGATAAAGAAGAGGATAGAAGCGACGTAGAAGCGCCAGTAGTATTCTAGCGCCAGTCGCGGATTAAATTTTAGTTAGGGACGGTTAGGACAAAACAAAATAAAATAAAACGATAAAAACATTCGATGTAGCAAATATTCTCTTCCTTTTTAAATCCTTTATAAATCAGCCAACAAATAAATATGTCTTTAAACTGTTCATAGACTGAATATCGACAACCTCGAAGAGCACCGTGCGGTATTTGTCGTGAAAATGAGGATGGACAAATGCCAAAAATCGACTTAAAGAATGTATAAAAGATCGAAAAAAATTTTAATGGAATTTAATTTTAAGATTTTTAGATATAGAGATACCTATTAATGTTGAAAAATTAAAAATAAGTAAGTTTCTTGTTACATTTTCGTCAATAGAGAAAACATAAGATAAAAAACGATATTATTAAGATATATTATTATACTTGAAATTATTGCACATTATAGGTTACGCTTTCATAATACTGAGTATAAACTATGCATCATAAAAACTATGTTTAAAGAATCATATTCTGTATAATAATAATACACGAAATACAATATTCAAGAAAAACAGAAAAAAAATAGGTATAAAGTATTAGATTGATGCAAAAGCTTTATCATATTTATCAAATAACGTTAAAAATAAAATTTCAGAAAACTGAAAGCAAAATCGCCGTCATGGATCTTCCTATATGTTTTTTTCCATCTAAAGAGAAATTTTTCAATCTTTTTTTAAAAATTTCTGTTTAATTTAATACAAGGCAAGATGGAAGAATGACAAATCTTTGGCACTATAATCCTAATGTAACAGAATTTCGAAATATTCTTGTATGTAAGATATCTTAAGTCAATATTTCCGTACTAATGTAATTAAGCACAATTTGATAAATGAAACCTTTAAAACTTATTAACATTATATTAATATTTCTCTTGTCTCTTTAGCTATTATATAATAAATCTATACTTAAAATCGCTGGTATAAAAAAATGTTTATTAAATAATAATTATTAGATAACGTCATCGTCAAGAATAACAAACGTCAATTACAGAAAATTTTTCATTGTTCGTTTTGATGGTAGAATCGGCATTAGAGAGCAAAGTTACACCCTCGTCGGAACGATGAACGGCGCGTACCGTTCAAGATCATCGGAGTTAAACGGCACGAATGAACTTAGAATATTGCGATGTGCCGGAATATCGGCGGTACGGAGGAAGTTCGCGATTATTTTAGGAAGTTGTTTCGTGCCGCGGGAGCATTAACCCGCTTTTCGGTATTCTATCGAAACACGCGCGGCGCGCTTCGGCTCGACGTGATCGTTTATTCGTTCGCA